CTGAATAATAACAAGAAGTAGAAGAAGAAGAAGAGAGAAAGACAGAAAGAAAAACAATAGAAACGCATCATAGAATAATATTTTATTCAGAAAGTGATTTCAAAGAGAAATGGAATTTGGTGTCAGATCGTTAACCTTAAAAAAATTTTTCTGCTTCTGTTGTTTATTTACGTGATTTGAATAAAAGATAAAGAAAAAATATTATACACTTTTTGTGGAATGTGATTGCGTGTATACTATGCACAAATGCGTATAAAGTTCACTGATAAAAGGCCTTTTCTTCGGTATGTGGGGAGCATTATGCTTTTATTATTACTATTATTATTTTATTATGCTGGGTATTTTTGCTAATTAAACTAATTAAACAGTTGTTTGTAATGCAACAGAGTGCAACAAGATTTATCACCAGAAGCCAGCTTAATGCATTAAAGGTAAGTTAATTCTAACAAACGGTTGAACTGATCACAAGGGAATTATGTAATTCGTGACATGCATTAGTGAAGTATACACACACACACACACAGTCGCATATGTAGTAGAACTTCTATTTCATGAATGCCTTGGGTTTCCATTCATCCATTTTCATCGTGACTGCTGCAATTATGGGACCAGACAAACAATGTCACTCTGTATTCATTTGCATTGATCAATGTTTACTAATCATAATTATAAAAATTCACGTGTCAGTCTAAATGTAAATACTTTAATGACATCTCCTCTACATAAACAAAACAGAATACGTAGTAACTAATAGTATTGGTTTTTATTTTAATTTTTATCGATTAAATACTTACAAAAAGATATTTTCACAGCTTTTCTAAAAGTTGTTTCGCGTTCTTCATTAGTAAATGTGTGGGTCACATTCATTTGATTTTCTAATGAGAACTGATGATTTGTAGGGAATCTTCAGTGGACACAGGACGTCTGTGCTATACACTGCAACTTGGAATCAGTAGATTTGCGCTACAATTTTCAGTGTTTGTCGCCAAAGTTCTACGCAATGACATTAGTAATATGTAAAGTGCCATTGGTTTTGACTACTTCATATTTTCACTGTAGAGACGACTGAATTGTCTGTGGGAAGCCAAGTTCAGTACTCTTTGCGCTTAAATAATGTTTTAACTGACGCCTGTCCGGTAAACATTAGAACCCCTGTTTTACATATTTTAGTATCACTTTACTCGCAATCCACAAGCAAACACACACACACACAATGGAGTTCAGAAATGCCGTAAGGATTGAATTTAGTCTTAGAAGTCAAGCTCACAATATAAATTACCTGATAGGACTACTTGATTGCAAGAGCCTAGAGCACCAAAACTTAGGATTCTGTGTCTATTAACCTACCACAGATTCTACGGACAACCTGCTGCTTTACAAAAAAATATACATTACGAAGGCCCAGCCAATCCAAATAAGTGAATTACTATATCATTCTGGCAAATTTGTTTCAGACGTTGAGTTGGAAAACTAACTGAACCCCTTAATTGGAAACATTATATATATATATATATTTCCGGTATCGCAGCTAAAAAATAACTTGCATTCGAACAATTATGGATGGCGTCCAAAAGCAGATTTATCACATCTGCCTAACGGATGTCTGTGTCAAACCAAAAAAAATATCCTGTTGACTGCAGAAAAATTCACAAGAAGTCCATCAAGACTACGTGATCAGCGGGATGATCACCTATCAAATGAAAAAGTTGTATTCCATAGTTACCGAAAGTCAGTGGCTGAGAAGAATATACTGAAGAAATGAAGTGAGTCTGTGGAATCAATTGTCTTTCCCTAACTCTTGTTAAAGTCACGTAGATCACAACTTAAGCGTATATTTAGATATTAAATACAGTTTGATAGAAAATATAACTAGCTACTGTATCACTCATACACATACCTTCTAGTTTCCTGTGTCATTCAAACTCATCTATGTAGAATTTTACAGTTTAAAATATAAGTTCTCTGCTTAAAGCTAAGGTTTTCAGAATGCTATCATTTACAACGTTTTATTGTCTCCTACAGCATAAATTGGTGATATTAACTTTGCCGCTGATCACAATTATTTTTATTAAATCAACAAGAGGTGCAACAAGTGTTTGGCCTCCATCGACTTGCTGACATCTAAAGTGAACAGGCTAAGAATTTTAATCCATAAGATTCAGCATAGGACCATTGTTCTATCAACAAAAAGTAAACCTACTTTCATTGCACATAACATTTTGTAAACTTTTAAATATGTGCATATTTGAACAAATTTTTGATATGATATCATGCCCTAAAGTTAATCTTCAATTAGTACATTCAAAGCATGCTCACGGTCACTTGATTTGACACGTTAAGCTAATTTCTTGAAGCAGCTTGACAAAGTTATTAGATAATCAATAGACATATACTACAGTATCTGTGATCGTTCCATTATGCAGAAATTTTTATTCTGATACAATAATATTTACTCATGATGCTTCGAGCACAGTTTACTGTTCATAATCACATCAGGTTACTCACACAGCATTCTGACTGCGTTATATACACGAGTCAAAACTGATTGGACATATGCATGGATAAATGAATAAAAATCAGTATAAAGTTCGATAGACATTCATGAAACAGATTATTGGTAGTTAAAGTATATTCAGAAATAATGATATAATACGATCGGAAATAAGACGTGTTTTTTGTTAGTCAATAAGATGGGGAATAAGATGTCTGTAACTCTTGGAAAATTCCCATTGTAACATTTGGAGAATTAAAACAAGTGATTCAGCTAATTCACTTGTTTTGATTTTCGACAAGATGTTTTGTCAGTAAAATAAATATAATGTTAAGGTGTAATAATGTAAACTGAAACGTACTTTATCTTCCTATAATCTGTTTTATGTATGTCTATCGAACTTTATACTGACTTTTATTCATTTATCCATGCATGTGTCCAATCAGTTTTCACTCGTGTATATAACACAGTCAGAATGCTGTGTGAGTAACCTGATGTGATTATGAACAGTAAATTGTGCTCGAAGCATCATCAGTAAATATTATTGTATAACACTGTGAGACTTTATCAGAATAAAAATTTACCCATAATGGAATTATACTCTACCACAGTGCCCAAGTTTTATTCTTATATATCTTCAATCGTACTAGAATAGATTTACTCATATTACAATTCAGCACATGTGCAACACCTGAAAGTTAGCTAAAATGGATTATGTGCCAGTGTTTCCGTCTAAATTACCCTCACATTGCCTTTCAGTGGTTCCAGAAAGTAGAAAAAATCTCTGGCCTGTAATTGGATGAGCGTTCAGAAAAAAAAATGAAAATCGAACTAAAATATATCATTAAAATGTGTAGCTCTGTTAGGTGAAGGACGGTAGAAGCAGTCAAAGATACAGTAAGAAGACGTTCTAACTAAACAAAGCAGATCGTTCACTGCCAGTTATTCTGCTACGACATTTTGATGCACTATCACAAGGCTAGTTCATCTGAGAATCAAAACATTTTTCTATAAGTTTATAATATGTTGGTGTTAAATATGTTTTAAACTACCTAACCAGCTAACCCCTGAAAAGCCCAGTCTTATTCTGATTCAAATACAAGAGTTACATATTTTATACTTTTAAAAATATATCATCCAGTACTACTGCTATAGCAACTGTTTTAGAAGTGCTTGGTCTGTGGATGACATTCAAAGAAAATGGTTTATTTTTGATGGTGTCGCAATTTGTGCAAATTTCACGTTGTTGAGAACAATCCTATTTGGTTAGTTAGAAGTAACATTGCTAACATATGACTGATTGAACGGGTGGTATGGTAAAATACAACCTGTGACGTGGAGTGTAACAATATTTCAAGCCTGCATTCAGTGTTGTAAACGCTAAATGCTCACATCGCTCACTGCTAAGATAAATGGAAGCTAACAGTTTCCTCTGAAACAATGAAATATACCGGTGGATGAAAAAATATCTGCATTTTTTTTTATCACACCTGAATTGAAAATACACGATGTTCGTTATTTTATATGACAACTGAAAGAATGATTAACATTTGGCCAGTAGACATTCAGTGAAGTAATACCTAATAACAGGACTTCATATTGTACTATGTTTAGTTACAAAAACACCGTGAAGGTCATATGATAGTTACTTCTTTTTGTTAATCTGTGTGATCGAAATAAGTAAAGAAAAGTCGACCTCTAACTTTGCAAGATTTAGTGTTGGTATATTTTAAAATGATAATCACAAATACATGCAGTTATCGGTTGTGAAATTGCTTTTCATTTATAAAATGCTACATTGCTTTTATGCCTCTTACAATCTACTTAAAATCCACCAAGAAGGCGATACCGGTAGTAGAAATAGGTTTTTTTTACTAGAAAAATTATAGAGTATTAAAAATAGTTTAAGAGTAAAACACTACGATTAAATCATTGAATTAAGATTAAATTTTAACACTGTCTTTTGAGTCAACATATTTAAATTAAAACGAAATTCCTTTAGATATATTTTGTGTAATACTGTTACTTATGTGTAACTTCATGACTCTCATGCATCATGAAGTTATTTGCTATTCAGTGGAGTATCGTTCGGTTTCTCGGACAATAGTTTCTATACTGATTGTTAGCTTCACCCTTGACTTGTAATTTCTTTCAACATTAAATTAAGTACTTGCACTACATCTTCAAGAAAAAGATGAAGACAGAGCCATTTAATAAACTAATATCAATTAACTACTTTTCCCTTTATTTACCGAGTTAACCAGAACTTCATGATGTATGTCCTTCTTTTGTTTCGGGTATTATTATTATCAAACTCAGTAATGTATATAAAGTCAAAAATACCACGTCAGCAGGATTCAGTTCTGTTTTAAATTACTGCTTTACTTTAACCTGACAAACGGAGCAGTGCATTTTAGAAAACCTGCATTTGAACACATACTTATCAAACCTGTAAAACATAATGTGGAAAATGATATACATATATATAAGGGTACTCGATAAAACTTACATTACATTACACAGTATTGTTCAAAAATGACTACCGATTAGTTGCTTTGACCAACATTGTAAACTAACATGAATGCAGCGTTTAAGTCTGCACACAGTAAAATAATGTTTAGCTAAAATGAACCGATAAAAGAAATAAAAAGGAATGAAATGGGGGAAATGAAGACATCAGTTTAGGCAAGTAATTGGATTTTAGCGTTAGATATGTTAAAGACAATATACTTATTCCATTGCGTTTGACTTTAAGTTTTTTAAATTGTGTTAAGCAATAGCTTCTTTCCATCATGTTTGTCTATATCCATACAGTTGGAAATGACAACTCAGTGTTACAGTAATTATTGTTAAAATGTTTTAATTTAGTGCTGATAATTTCTATCCTCTCCACCTTCAAGGCTGGAGTTAATTGTGCAGTCGTAAATTTTCACGTCGGGCAAAAATGGAGCATTGAACTAATACTTTAAAAAAATATCATTTATCTTTTTCATCATACAATAAAATATTTAACAGATCCAAATCTGCCTACGATTGACGTCATTGTCCATTAACAGAAAAACAACAAATATTCATTATAAAGTTGACAGTCTACTAATATCTCATGATAATAAATTCTTTAATAGCTAACAGTCTTTTTTCCACCAAACACAGTCTACCCATCTGTCAGTATACGCGTCGCCAACTCTATACGAAGCAAAACTATTATGCATATTAATTTTGGCCGATAATTTAATGTGAACACGGAGTTCACTCAGGTTGATCATGTTTCTTAATTTATTTGTAGCAGTTTAGAATCTGTTCACTCCATTTTCTTCCTTCAAGCATTACATACTGTTGTATGCTAGCGGTACAATATTCTCTTTTATTTTGTTGACTAGCAGCATGCACTCTGATTTTTTTTGGAGAAAGCATTAGTTAAAAAAAAAGTGTTTTCTTCCAAAAATGTGCTGCCCACATATATGTAGCATTTTGCTGGCATTATTGGCTGACATTTTGAAATGCTGAGTAATTGTGTTGTAATAACAGTGAACAGTAAGTACTGTTACATGCGTGTATTTATGTTCGCCTTATTCGTGTAGACGTCTGTTCGTCTTTGCAAGTTTCCCTTTTGTTCAGTTTAAAAAAAAACTTAAATGAATCAAGACAAAAAACATGATGATTAAGATGATATTATTATTATTATCATTATTAAGAAGTTAACACGGTCAAGAAGAAAATTAATGTTACAAAGGATGAGACTTATCAACTAATTTTGCTTAATAATATACAACTATTCCTGGCCATCTTATCTTCTTCTGTGCGTGTAGCTATCGCTTAAAATATTCCATCACTTGTTAACTTGATTATACCTCAAAAATCAACTTTCCTCATTCAAAATTATTTAAGCCCGAACAAGATTATTATTAAATGAAATTCGCGATTTGCAATTCAAACACTTCCAGGTGAAATTTCACCATAGTTTTCTTTGGAAGTTATTCAGATCAATAGCATATGGTTTGCTTCATGTCATAAATGGTAAGCAAGAAGGCAAGCATAAATGCCTGGCAGTATATCCTACTGATTGGCTGAGATGAATTGGTGGATACCATTTACATCAACCGGTATTTTGCAAAGGGAGCTATGGTGAATGAAATCTCACTTCGAACTATGTGAAGTACAAATCACAAATTTGACTCAACCTATTACTAGTTCGTTTAAACGGATAGCCAGGACTCGGACAGTTTGAAGGAATTTGGCCCTCTGAGCTGAGTCGAACCGAGTACATCACTGATGAGCTAGGCCCCAAAAACAAGCAAAATGGCTGTGTTTATATCACTTCTATTTGGTTAGCAAGCATTCTTGATTGATGTGAATGGTCAGTAGTAACTGGTTTCATGCATTTAAGGTTATAATTATCAGTATTATTACCTGATTAAGTGCATTAAGTATATGTATATGCATCGAATGAATAATTATCATGACTGTTATTTGCAGTATTACGAATAAGTTTGTTTTACTACTTTTAATTTACAGTGAGTGGTACAGGCTGATGAAGAAAATGAAAAGCTATTCACTTATTTACTTCAGTCTATCATCATGAAAATAATTCCGTAGACTTAAAACGTCAGTCGAATACAAAAAGTAATGAAAAACGTTTGTACATCAAATAGTCTAGATAGTTAATACAATAGAATTATTTTCCAATACTAGTCTAAAATATATGGAAAATAAATGATGGAACTTAAAAGTGAAAGTCTATAGATGTATTGTTTAAGACGATAAGTAAATCTGAAATAATAGAGAAGATTTGTAGCTCAGATGGATGATTTGCAATTAATAGTGTTCTCTGAGCTGGTTGGTTTAGTTGAGAAGCTTGTTGCGAAGATAGTTACCAGGAGACGCAATTATGTCACTCATGAAGAAATTTAAATCATTTCACTTTGTGCTAAATATGGCGCTGAAGATGTTGTCCAGAAGGACGACGAAAGCTTCGCAACTAAACCAACCAGCTCAGAGAACACCATTAATTGCAGATGAGTAAATCTATTCACCGTTTCTAATTCACGTGAACATAACTTTCTATTACTTTCATGGTACTTATGTTGGATTCTTATCAAAATATAATTTAAAAACACCATAATTCTCTTAATTTACTAAAAAAAGATTATTTTTGTCACGGTATATAATCTAACTGCCTACTCTAAATAATTTTTAAATGATTGCTATCCGAAAGACGAATAAATTAAGATGTACGAAAGATAAGAGTTGCATGCTTGTCCACACCTTATAACTTAAGGCTTTACCGCTTTACCGTTTTCGTAATAATACTTTCATTTCATTCGTTGCCTAGCCTGCTATACTAAGTAATCTTTCTGCATTGTTTTCTTGTCGAACAATTCACACTCCGAATTATTTGTAAGGAATATCCACTAGTGACTGAATTTTCCAAGATTGGCGATGACAAATTTAAACGTGAACAGCCACGTGACTTATTTTAGATACGTTAAAAAAAAGATTATCATACATAGTAGCTTATCTTAATATTTTATTATTAACACCATTTGTGTTTATGCATGTCTACGGTAATTTTGCCATGGTAAAGACCAAGGAGTCGTATGCAACTTAACTAGCGGTTCCACAATAATTCCTTTGAATCAGATATAGGATTTAAAGGGAATATTAGAAGTCCTTGTGAGACAGGCTTTCATTCGATCAAATAATATTACCTCTGGTAAGTGACAGTATGTGTATTTACCACTCAGTGATATTTAAATATGGAATTTTTCAAAATGGTAATTTGTAGCTTATGAACCCAATCAGTTACCGTATAGAGGAAAACAGTATGAAGTGGTTCGCTGAATGGGTACATCAGATCAAAAAGAAACTTTAAATGAATGTCTTCACTTCACAAGGGTTCAATTAATTTAAAGATTGGTGACGAACTGACTTCAGTTTGAGAACCATTAAAAACGAGGAAGTACAGGGCATTTGTCCAGACCTTGGTTAGGACTCTTCAGTGACCGGTGACCCCACGAAAGATTGAATCCATGGCCTTCAGGTTACAAGGCAAGATCGTTTACCTTTCATACTCCGAGTCTTTGAATTCTAACTTCTGCCAATCTGTAATTCACAGCAAGATCGTCAGCCAATATCACCGGCGATTATGTATCCACACACCCGTCTCGGTGGACTCCAGTAGAACTTTGGGCAATTTCATCCTGTAGTCGGTTACCAGTGAGCACTAGACTAATTTTCAAGTGTTAATTCGCTGGGATTTGATAGATTTTGGTCAAAAGTCAGTTCGTGACCACTCTTTAAATGAATATCCTGACTGCTGCACTTCGAAGAAGTAGCTACGCTGAAGCTTTTAATATGCTAGCCTTAGCGACAGAAGAGATTCACTAACATGGAGTTAAGAATAAGATGGAAGGTTTATCACTAGGTTGTCATTTGATGCACGTTTGTAGGTAAAACAACGGCTTCAATTTATATTATGGATTTCCTTTCTATGTGTATTTAACAACTGTCTTAGACATATTCATAACCAAGGTAATGAAGGCAAAGAACAAACGCTTGAAGAGCTGTTTGGCTGTATTAGCAGTTACAAACGACTGAAGCCTGTATGTTGTATTCATCATCTGTTTGCAGGGAAAACCATTAGCATTATATCAACACGAATTCATCTAGTTACACGGACATCAATGACAAGCAAGTTGGATTCTGTTGTTAACTAATCATAAAAATAAAGAAAATCAAAGTTGACATCTGTTAAGTGATAATTAGTAAGGCTAGATCGGAATAATTTATGTAAAGTGGGTATGCTTGTGGTATTTACTCCATTCTACAAATCCTGATATGTTGGACATTTTCAGGATGTGACAAAATTTGCAGAATTGGATTTTCTTTGAGAAGTTCTATTTCCACAAAACTGAAAACTGATTTTCCATTGGTTAGATTGTCTGCAATCTCAACAATGTTATAGGTACTGAGCATTTATAACATTTCAGATTATCATCATGATGTTGTATGACTGAGTCTTACTGATTTTTTACATCCTCAGAAGCTAATCACTTGATCAGCTCTGTCTCCTTTCATTAGCCTCATTTCTAAGTGACTGGGAATGGAATTCACAAGGCGTACGCTAAGATGGTGTTCAACAAAAAAATTTTTCATTTAATACGTAAAACAACAATACAAATGACGAAACCACTGAAAAATCAATCTACACTTGGTTAAAAATAAAGAGAATCAGTGACAACCAGTTGAATATATCAAGAATATAAAAAAAATATTAATATGATATAAGGTATAATTTTTCAAATGAGTTATATGAATTAGCAAATAAGCCTCAGTAATAATTTACTCTATCGAAGCAACTACTGTAACTTATGGAATGGCATAGCATGACAACCTAAACAAGTAAAAGACTAAGCAGGAGGGAGTGTTAATTTTTAAAAAGTGCTATTAGTAGTATGGAATTTCGTCAAATCAGACGGCTGATGCTGAGATTCAAGTAACTGGTGGTCAGGAAATTTCCATTATTAATAAATATCTAGATGGGTATTAAAATAGTTTACACGTCAATTGAAAATGATGATAATGAAAAGGAAACAAAATGCGGTTCTAGAAGAAATCCAGG